AAACATGTCACATCTATCAATCTTTCCACAGTGATAAAACTTACTCTGAGAAATAGATGGCGTCTAGATGGTCTTTATTGTTATTGCAATTGAATCTACTATGTTCATTTTAGCAATATTATAATACCCTCAGCCCACTGAAAATGGAAAATCAAGGTATAATTTTTATTTATAATTTTAATTATTTTTAGAATTAAGAAGTAAGTGCCTTAATGACCTTAATACTTGAATGTTAATGTTAATTCAAATGAAATTTGAAAGTAATTGTGCGTCTTGAATACATATCTATTATGCTTTAGTGAATGTGTCTTACTGACCAAAAATTATATTATTACGTATATATATATATATAATAAGTATGCATGTAAGCCATGGGGTTGAGAACTCTTCTCCCTAGCAATAAACCGTTTTGGGGGAGCAGGGTACAAAAGCACATGAAATAACTGCTCTTACATCTCAGGGCTACAGGGCATTGAGAAATGATGAGCACGTGCTTCCCTTGGCCAAACATCATGATAAGAAAGGCGCAAACAATTTGACAATTTAATGTGGCGACATCACAACCTGCGACCACAAACTGGCCACGAGACTCGCTGACAACATTAGCCAGTGCAGAACAGCGAGCGAGGGAGCGGAGTCTATAATTATAATTCCATTACCATTACCAGGCGAAGGAGGTGCGAGTAGAGGCCAGCATCGGCGCAGGACTTTTACGAGAAAAAAAGGAAACGAAAATGAACAGAGTGCGATTTGAAAGGTGCAGCAAGCTACCTTGCAGATCCTGTGTAGTCATGTCAAACACAATTGAAGTGGCGTAATTGTTGAAAAAGCGACCAAGCTAATGATGGCCACTTGAGAACTTGTCGAGAGCCAAGGATAATGCGGGCTGCAGTTTCGATGCGCAGCTAATGTGCGCGCGTCAAGCAGCAGGTGAATCAGTTGCCCTTCCTTTGGGCGCATGCGAATGCGGATGCCGTAGCCGCAGCCGCAGCCGCAACCGATGCCAATGCCAATGCGGAAGTATGCGTTACTCGTTTGATTTGACGAATAGTTTACGAGTGCTCTGGTGGCTCTAACCTGGCAACAGTATCCTTATCTGACTTTTTGCTTCATTTGACTCTATTTGTCTTCTTCCCACACGTTCGGCTCAAGCCACATACATAGGTTTTATGACCCAAGTAGCAATTATTTAACGTACTCCAGCTGCACTCAGATTAGAATCTATAAGAATCATTAGCTCCGCAAGGAAGTGTATCATGTTGTCCACCATTCAATTTAGACACTTAATGGCATTGCATATGAAACTCTGTTAATAGAATAAAATAGTTGTCAGTGTGAAGAACAATTTTGAATTTCAGTTTGGCTTTTGATGCTGTTGCCCTAATGGTGAATGCCATTTATTTTTCTATTTGGTACCTGGATGGATAGATACAGCACCTTATGCTGGCACTAGCATATTATTCATGCCCATAAGAATGTCAGCGGCTACTCGTTAACACCACGGGCGGCTTTTGTTGTGCTCGGAGATACGATATGGAGATCCACTTCACAGAAACAGAAAAGTAACCTGTGTCCACTCAACTTGGTAGCTGTAAAGTTGTTAACTTTGGTTTTATTGCTACACAGTCGCCTACTGATTTTCGTTCTGCTCCGAGCCGTCCGAGAGAAGTCTGGAATCCAGCCAAAGGCCACGATTACATGAAATCAATTGTGCCCCATAGCAATTTTAATTAGCATTATTGACGATTGATTGCGCAGGCCTCGCAACTGGCGAGTTCACACACTATAATTGACTTATTTCCGCCAACAGAGATATATTACTAATTCATAGATCTTACCCTTATGGGGGCAATCAACTAACAATAAAAGCTCATTATGTAAATGTCACAGTTTTTGGCCACTTTTCGACGGAGCGCTTTTCGGGAGCGCTACTGTTTTGTTCAATAGCTGCTTATCGATCCGCAGGTTTATGTATTTAATGAGCGGCCCATGAGGAAAGCAGGAAAACATTTTTAAATTTTTATTGCCTCACATTTGGTTTTAACCTGTTGTCGAGCGTTTTAAATGAGAACATAACTGCTTCTGTTGCCGGTGGCTGCCAATTAACCCTTTCCCATTGTTGCTCATGTTGGGCTTGCCGCTTTTACGGTTTAATTGCGCGCACAGCGGTCAGAGTTAGCCACAAGAAACAGAGAAATCAATCTCGAAATGCGTTGACAAGCCTGGCTCATCGCGAAGATCTCGAGTTCAAGTTCGGTCGGGTGTATTTAAGTGAACCTTTAAGAAATTACCCATAAAAAATGGCTTTATTTGACAAGAGCAGCGCCGAATAAAAGTCGAGCATATAAACTGAACCAACCAAATGAAACAAATGTTAAAGGTAAGAAGAGAAAATCTGAAAATGTCAACACATTAAATGGTGTCAAAGGCCCACAGTTAGGAAAGCGGAAGACGACTAGACTTTCATATTCGGTCACATGACTACATTTTAATGAGATCAAATTACCATTCAATTAATACAAAGAAAACTGCCTAAAAGCTAACTAAATTAATATATTTAAGCTAAGGAAGAGCTCTCCAGGCAGCAATGGCCCAACTAGGATATACCTACATAACAAACAACACAAGGACTCGAACGCAAGAATCAGCGACTGCACTTTTTTCTGCCTGTTTACACAAGAAAAAGGTCGCTGTGTTCAAAAATGATTTTCCAATGTATTTTATATACATATTTACATATGTAAATAAACTGACTGATCTAGCATGCTTCACTTTTGTAAGAATTTTTAAATCTTTATTTGCTGCGATTCCATATGATTCGTTTGAGCTGTAACAAGCGACGTGCTAAAAACCCAACATGTTAAGCCATCAAAGCTGCTTAAGCTCTCTGTAGTTAAATAATTCAACATTAACCACAGTAGTCCGATCTCAATTAAAACTAAAAATCGATATTCGTTGTCAAATATTTGAAACTCCTAATCGTGTCAGACAACACCATTACCGCCATAAAAATATCAGTCGCATCGATTGCTTTCTCATGCACGGGCAGATATGTTTGGGGCTGCTTCTCATCTTGTCTGATTCTCCGACAATATCTTGATTTATGCCGAAAACGTGTAGCAGCCGCAAAAACCAAAACACAAATCAAATGCTAGCAGCGCGACGAAACATTGCAATAGTTGAGTCTATACTAAGACGAGCTCCTTGAGCAGATTCAGCTCCTTTAGCTAACACAGAAGCTGTTGCACATACTCGTATATCTGCAAGTAAGTGATACAAAAACCTCGAAACGAGCGCGAAATCCAAATGCTCAGGAAAGTGAACGGCGCGCGCGTTTTTTGTCGCGCCAAACTTAGCGAGTCGTTGCAAAAACGCTTCGGATCGGAAATCGAGAGATCGAATTGAAGATGGGTACGATCCTGATATTCCTGCTGCTGCATGCCTACCTCATTTATATTTCGAACGCGAGCGTATAAAAATATTCTGTTGCCCGATCTGGCCTGGCCCAAAAGTGTCGCCCCCGGCTTATGATCGAGGCGATCACCGACCAACGATCGATATGTGCGTTCAACGTAAGCAGTCCACCAGTCCAAAAGTCCAGCAGTCCAGCGGTCCGTGGCAATCTGTGTTTACTCAGAGAAGATACTTTTTACACAGCCAGGCATTCAGGCTGTCAGTCATAGTCATGCCTGATCATTCCGAAGTGGGACAACCAGGCTCAGAGCAGAAGCTTGCTTTTACTGCGATTGTGACTGTGCTTGGGCTTGCGCCTGCTGGCTGGGGTGCTGCTTGCTAGAAAGAAGGCCTTCACACTGTGCTGCATTCCTGACCACCAGTTTTCTTGTCCGAATCCTCAACGCCTTTTAGCATTGTTTATGAAGTGCAATGCCCCTCCTGCTTCAAGCCTTGCACGTGATACAATTATGGCAGTTTTTTTGCTAATGTCTAAATGTCTTCTCTTTTTTACGGACCAAGCTGCGAAGCATACGTTCCTCGCATATTTAACGCACTTTCCGTAGACTTTGTCGAAGTACATTTTGTCGAAGGACTATTCTTTGGTTCTATTCAAATAGTTAGAGACTACAGCTTCATCTTTCATATAAAGAAAGAAAGAAGTTCTCTAAAAACATTTAAATATGGTTAAGTCCGTGCAATACAAAATAATCTACAAAATATTGGTTAGAAAGTCCCATACTGTGATTTCATATAATAGAAGCACTTCACACCTTGGCTTGGGCTCCCGTTGCTCCCCTGTTGGTAGTCCATGATCTTACTTTTCTGCTTATAAATTCTGATCACAATGCTGCAACGGCAAGGCACACTACAGCACCTCATGGCGATTTCAATGTCATTGTCGCCTTGCCAAGTAAGTATTGTACAATGGGCTAAAATGAATTTTAACTATCTGTTTATGCGAATGGCTTGGCACTATGAAAATCTTGATACTAATTTGTAATTCCTTTGTAATTTTCGATAATATATACAAACTATTACAAAAATATGAATATTTCAAAAATTTAAGAGTTTCAAGAAACTATACAAATTATAATAATCATCTAAATAATGTTTTGCAGCGAATATTTCTGTCAGTTCACACTGTGTCAGGGCTCTCCGGTGCACCGGTGGAGCCATGCGCAAAGAAGCTGCAGTTGCCACCGCGGGCGATCGATAGCTATGGTCGTGTCAGACATCTTGTAATTTTGTACTTTGCAATGAAGTTTTGCTGTTGTTGTTTTTGTTGTTGGCAACTTGTTGACACTTCGTTGGCGCGCAAGTTAATTAAAGAGCGACTGACCGACGTTCCGACAAGACAATCCAGGGACCTCCAGGTAGCTCATTGAAAACCAACGCAAATGGTATAGATGCTTCATTTTATACTGTAGTGAAAATAAATTAAACAAGAATGGTCTAGTTCAAACCACCCAGCTAGCAGGTATCCCGCTCTAAGCTTTTTACATTCATCATTGTGTTTATTTATATGGACATTTGAATACTCACAGCTGGAAATATCGCTACTGAACAAGAAATTGTAAGTGTAAAATTACTATAATTTGACTCAGTTAATTGCCTAGAAACGAAATTAAATAATTACAGCAACACATTTTGGTAGTAATTACATTTACACAGTTCGATTGTATTTTATTTCGATTAATTAGTTATCACGAATAGGTAGTCTAAAATAAACATATTAATTGTTTAAAACTGGGACTCTTACTAGAATTAAGTAAAGGCAATCAGGCAGCCTTAGTTGACGACTTCAACGCTACAATCTTCCTCGACATCCGCGACTTCCAGCTGGGATCTTGTTAGCGTAGCCGTATCTTCGGAGCTGACGTTACTAACGTTGCTGTTGCTCTCGCTCGAGCTGGAGCTGGAATTCGAGCTTATGCATTCAACATTATCACGCTTGGTCACACATCCTTCCAAACTCGTCTGTGATTCGCTGTTGAAACGGAAACGCTTCTCAGGCTTCTTCAATAGTTCCTCAATGGAATAGGGATTCCTTTTGCGACTATTTTGACTGTTAGTCATCGTATCTGTAACGCCGGATGTAGCTGTACTTGAGGTCAACGCCACCGGCGATGATTTTCCTGAATCGCAATCACTCAAGGGATCGCCCATGGCGCAGGGTTTGGTTAGATCAATTGAGCTTTCGGATTTTGTGAACCCACCGCCAACTGCACAACTTCCTGCAGCAGCCGCTGCAACAGCGGCCATACTGGCTGCGCCATGCGGCACAAAGGCTCCACTATAGGGTAAAATCGGACCGCCCGTTGCTGCTGCTTGGGCTGCCTGGGCTGCCTGCATGTGTGCCTGAGTATAGTAGAGCAGCGAAGGATTCCATAGCCAGTGCTTGTGCAGTGCTGAGTAACTTAAGTCTAAGCCACCCAACTGACTGGACACGGCGGTTGCCAATCCATGACTAGGACTGTTTCCATGAGACGGAGGCAACTTGGGCGCAGGTTTGAGAGGGAGCCCATCGCCCAGTAATGACGGTGACGGTGTCGCTTTAGTATAACGTGAGTGTAAGCTTGATGTCGATGTAGGTGGCGTGCCAGAGGTGGGCGTAATTCGTGTAGCTGCGGCAGCTGAATTACTGGGGCTCGCATACAACTGGGTGGACGAAGCGTAAGCACTAGGAGTGCCGCTGCCAGAAATTTGGTGAGCCGCTGCCACTGCTGCCGCAGCCGCTGCTGCATTCTGCTGACTGGAAGTCATCTCGTCTGTCCAGAGTCCACTATTACGCAATATACGATTAATAGAGCTGATCGACGGTACTGAGCTGGGATCACAAACACGCTGCTGCTGCAGTTGTTCACGTATTTCCCAAGCGAACATGCCGCTGTTCTCTTCCTTTAAGCGTATTATTTTCTTTACCACAGTTGGTGTAGCTACTTGCTGTTGAAGAAATGAAAAGGAGAAAATCTGTGGCTTAGGCACTGGTCCCCTATTGATGCATATGTTATGTTCTAGGCATTAAATGCCGTGAAATTTTATTGTATAAAGCAATGTATCTGCAAATCAATTTTCAGATCGCCAAGGCCCTCAAATACTAGAGCAGGTCGAGCACCACCCAGTTTAGTTGTTTTTTAATAGATATATATCAACTCGTGTTTTTTGTTAGCTATGTGCTAACTGCATATTTGCAATTTTAAAAGGTGCCCCGCCAATGTCGGCTCACTTAACGCTCACGTGTGACGCGGCAATTCATTAAAAATTCATAAATACATGAATATTTCATAGTCGCCCCTAAAAGGGTCCAACTTACATCAGAGATCTTATCAAATCATACACACGAAGGCGCTTTGTATGACCGGTCAACTAACCCCTCCTTTGGCCTCTAAGCCAGCTACGCCCTCACCACTCACCACTCTTCCTCCCCATGCGTCTACCATCAGATCCCCAGGGTGACACTTCCATATTGACATGGATGTGGAGGTGTTAAATGCACGTTTTGTTCGAGCAAGTGTAGGCTGTTATTGAATCACCATATCACGTGCGAGGACAATGTGAAGTTCGCCTTACTTATAGGTTAATTACGAGTTATATTTTAAGCTAGTGTGCTTGGAAAATAGTACAACACGTTTAAACATTTGTTTAACCTGAAGCTTATGTTGATACCGCGCAGGTCCTATGCAGCCACACTATGCTTATTTTTATCACAATCTGCGTGGCCGTTGGCCCACAACCGTAGAGGTTACACAGTAGCTGCAGGTAGTTGATTGAGCGTGTGAAATTAAACAACTGACGAAAACCAAGTGCTGTGCTCCCGGTGATGACAAAAGCGTGCTATCAGTGCCTGCAAATGAGATTGATTTGTTGCGCTCTACCTACATAGCAATCTCCCCGAAAAAGCTGTCGTCTAAAGAACATGTAAACTAGCTTTTTATCTGTGATACTGTATGGATTTACTGCTGTGCGTTTGATTTTTATACATATAATCGCATGTTGATTTCACGGGAGCACACATATGCCCATATCCCACGGACACCGTTTTTCCCCCTATCAACTTACCTTCGTTTTACTGCCGCCAATAGATCCCGGCCGGATGGAACCTGTCTCATAGAAGCGCGTCAGAATTTTGGATACACATCCTACCAGGCGGAAAAAGCCAATAATCCTATTAGTTGATTTTATTTAAATTTTAACCTTAACTTCCACACTCACCATGAGACACTAAGAGTTGCCTGGATATGTCACAGGGCCTAACGCCACACAGCGCCAAATCCACGATACGTCGTCGCACACAGTCCGGCAATGGGCGCCCATTGACAAAGACTCCGCCCAACTGGTTGACACCCGCCTGACCTGCAAAAAAGAAAAAAAAAATATTTGTAACGAAAAAAAAAAGGTTCTGCAACTAAAAGAGCAATGATGCCTCCATCAATGCTCAAATCAAAATAATTTCCATTCTCTTCTTAAATACCATGCTTGAGTATAAGCTACGCCAATTGAAGCAATACTGTCTTGCTCTAACCGATATGTGCACTCAAACTTATAAGCAATCGTAACCACCGACCAACTCGCTGTGTCTGTTACCTTCTGTCGGATCCAACTCCTCGGGGCGTTGGCTGCGAGTTTAATGAAGTGCGAATTTTATGTTTGCTGTCTCTTTTATGGAGCGCAAAAGAGTTTTGCCCGAAGGGCTGTGGCTGCGTTTCAGCTGTCGTGATTATCACTATCGAAATAAGTATCGCAAGATTTGTTTTTGGTTTTGGTTTCGGTATATGGTATATTTTAGTGTTTGATCGCATTGAATGCTTTCATTGTAGCAGTTTTAGCTCATTAGGTAACATAAAAATGATCGACAACTCACCTGTATGGGGCATTGTTGAAAACGCACTCAACTCAAATTTTTATCAACTGTTTACAGTGTGTGGCGTCACCTGCGTGAGCTTTGTGATGTAAGTCAATGGGTCCGGCTCGAAGCTTTGCTTAATCGTCGAATTCTAATCAAATTTTAAGCAAGAACCCCATTAAACTAGTCAGCGAGATGATGCTGGCTGCTCCCGATGCCAATGCTGATGCTGATGCAGTTGATGAATGTTGCTTTTGGGATGTTGCTGCAGACCGTCGCCCGACTGAGTTAGTAGCTGAGGAGATGGGTTTTTTACGGCTTCCACGAAATCTCTGCACACAGTTGTCAGCCGGGAATCAGATCAGTGAAAACTAGTAAGGAAAATACATAAAAGTTAATTATTTCATAAAACCTCGAAGGCAACAACATAAGGCAATGCGTACATGGTAGAAGTCCTAGTTTAAAGATATACGGTAGAGGGGCCATTTAATGTTCAGTGGTTTATGGGCTGTGCCCAAATGCGTAGTACTTGGATTTTGTTGTATCTTAAATTAGCTGCTTATCAGGCACATTCTTGGCGCAGCGTGAACTAGCCTATTATCAGAATTGTGGGACTAAATAAAGCACATTGCATGTTTGGTCTGCAGAGGTAAAGGTTGAAAATATGCAAATGCATGAGCCGGGCAACAATTAAAATAAATTTTGGCCAATTGCTCATTTGGTTAAAAACATACCAAAAATATGCAAATATAAAACCCGCCGACAGCAGCAGCAGCAGTAGTAGCAGGTCACCCCCACTGTGGTTTCCGCTTCCTGTCATTAGAATGAATGGGCAAGCAGTTTAACAGTGAAGTCCCTGGTTAACCTGTCGCCAGCCTGTCAGAGGCATGAAAATGCGCGCCGAAGAACCGTATAAATCAAAATGTATAACTACCCCTTGGGTCCATAGTCTTCGTACTTTGTCATGCCCATGTTATTATGGAATTCACATTAGATTTAATTGCCCAAAGTCCTCAGGATTTGACTGTTTGGTTACTTTTCAGCTCGTAAAATTCTAAATGCGCGTGTGGACAGCAGCGCTGCTCTTCAAAGGCACGAAATTGAGTTGTTTTTTGTTGTTGTTACTTTGTTTTGGTTTAGTTTTGGAGCTACTCGTGGCAGCCGTTAAGGTTGTTAAGTGCCACAGACTTATACGCACATTAGCCTGCGATAAGCATTTATTTGCAAGCTGAACTCTTTTATTTTCGAAAAGAAAGGGTTACTTTTACTCGTATTTTTCTTTACTACAGTTTACTGCCTTGAATTAGCTAAAAGTCGATGGCCCTAAAGAAAAGTAATCTGTGGTATTTATTTAATGATACCAATTTAACAGCCGATTATGATAAAAACAATCCGTTCTATATAGGTATTGAAAAAGTCAAAGAATATTCTGTTATATAATATACAAAAATATGTTTCATATATTTCTGCCAAACGAGTCTGCTTAAACTTACTGTAATTGATTGCTCAACAACGAACTAGCAACTAAGGTTAATGAAGCCAATATTCAAAAACATATACACCTGTCAAACGTAATGCACATAAAAATTAACAGAAATTAGTTAAACATACAATAATTTAAATGGGTACTACTGCCAAAAGTGGAACCGACAGGTTCGTCGAGCTTCTGTTTCGGCAAAGAAAAGCCGCGGCTTTAGGAATAAAGCTCGCTAATTAAAATAAAAAATTATAATAAAACATACGCTGGAGCATTTGAATATGTATAGGCTTATGATTTTTTTGGTGCATCAAATGATAACATAGGAAGGCAACAGAGCAACAAACGACATCAATGAAGCAAGTCGCCGGCTTTTACATTGCTGTTTAGAAACGAAAAGCAGCCAGAAGCAATATTGAGATCAATATCGTTTTGGGTAGGCTGACCACACTTAGGTTCAGCTAAATAAGTTGTTAAGCGGCTAGTTTGGTAGAAAGCTTTCAAAATCAATGGGCTATAATAGTATACGGCATGATATAGAATTAATTAGCATACGATTTTTGAATTTTGTCGTTTGTCTCGTGGGAAAAAGTGGTCGACTCATTTATGAGTTATCAGAGGCCGGCGGAAACTCAATTTCAATGTGACTTTTCGCGATCTTTGCGATGCAAATTTGTTGAGCTCATAAAATTAAAGCCATATCCGTTGTATATATATTCGCTTATTTTGGGATGAAGACAATATGATTGAATAAATTGAATCCCGTTAAATGGGCGCTCATTACGAAAAGAGCATGGGTTAATGTGTGTATCAAAACGCATAGAATATAATTGAAATATTTCAAAAATTTCAAATGTTATGAGAACAATAATATTCTAAATTTAAGCACAATTATGTTTAATAAGGTGTTAACTGAGTATAATAATTTTTATCATGATTTTTTTATGAAAAACGTTTGTTTTAAAGTATTCCACGGTTTTAATGCTACAGTACTCCACCAAATGACAACAACGAGAGAAAGTCTAGTACTTCCTTTGTGTCAAGTTATTATAAATTATCTATATTGGGTTTTCCACATATTTTTGTAAGTTACTTGCTCTCACCTTAATTACTTTTCTTTTTAATATAGATAATAATTAATTAACACAAATTTTAATTCACTTGGACTAAGGTTTTAATACATATACACAACACATCAACTTTTTCCTTCTGCAAATTCGTTTCAAGGAGCGTTAATTTTCCATAAATTAGGTATACTAAAATGGACTCAAGACTGTTTAAGCTTGCCCACCGCGACGCCGCTCATCTAGTCACTCGACCGTCAAAATTTCAACTAATGCATGCGATTCGCGCTGGCAACGCACAAAGCATCAATGATCTGCTCTGATGTTCCCGTGTCCGATGCCCTGCCGTGTTACATCCAGCCAACTCTGGGCTACTGCCGCCACCCGAAAATATACGCACACTGACATATGTTCACGGCCTCTCAACTGCCACAAGGCGGACGAAACGTTTTTCTGGTGTAACCGGTTTCACGGCAGCAGCAGCAAACAACAGTGTGCTGGCGCAAAAACAACAACAACAGCAACGACAGCCCCGCTTGCGGCTCACGGCCAATCAACAGTCACTTCATATTGCGCATGTGTTGTGCTGGCATTGCGAGCCCTATGATTGGCCGAAGCCGTGGGTTTCGTTACATTCGATGCCCTGAAAGGTTTGAATAAGCCGCACCGTGGAACTACGCACATCCTGCCCTGGCATGACGAACACAATGGAGTCAATAAACGCATGCCAAGATATGAGGTAAATAATAATAATTTAATAAAAGTCACACAAAAGTCAATTCAACAGCGAATAACTATTTAAGTTTAAATCACAAACGAGAATACAAAAACCGCTCGACTAGCAACAAACCTCAGTAGGCGAACCCCACATATATTCAGCATAAAAAAAATACATATGTAGAGTATAATTTGTATCATTAAAGCCAATTCTAAATATTTAAATATAAACAACAACAAAATATATATTTATTTATTAATTCAAATATTATAGCAACATTACGAAAGATAATTTTATACCATCGTACACTAATGTTAAAGCGTTGCGGCAGCCGTAGCCGTTGCCGTTGCCGTTGCAGTCGCGTTCCGGCCAATCGGCAGCGGCAACTCAGCACGCGAATGTTTCTCCATGCCCACCACAATATGACAACACCATAGCCCTAGAATTTTATATATATATATGTGTACGTATGTACGAATAGATATATGGAAGTGTGTGTGTGTGTGTGTGTGTATGGCGTAGCCGTACCCTGAGCGAAACAACGACGGCTACAGGCGTGCGCCGGTCCTATCTGCACCGTGGCTTTCTCTCTCTCTGATGAAGCTCATGGAATGGGTAAATGGGTTTTTGGGTGGTGGAATTAAGAAACGCTTTGGTGGTGCAAGTGTTAATTGAATATGACAATTGTCGCCTGGCATTTCAATTGAAAATAGATTTTAAATGGGCAAGGCTGGTAACGAAAGATAAAACTGTCATATTGACTATAAAGGGTGACTATCGTTTATTCGTGGAACAATACCGCTTTCAGTCTGGTAAACGTAATTGTGTGCTGGGCTTTTAGGCTGCCTCCGGAAAATCAATGTAGAAAAAGTGGGACTATATTAAAGCGTGTATCCAATTCAGGTACCCAAGTGCGTAACACTCATCTGCGTGTCATAAGCAAATCTACTTGTGGCGACAAAGATTTATATTTCAAACATGAAATCTCTTAGAGCTAGCAATGGCTACAAAGGTATATGGTATATGGAGTGGCACTTTTGTGTCCGTCACCAACATTTCTGCAAGGTTGAGATAAAACTGTCAAAAGAGCACAAGGCCCAAGTCGAGTGCCTCACACAATGGCGCTTGCCACTAGCTCTGATAGTCTTCATCTCCAACATTGCCAAACAGCAGCTGCCCCGAATTTTCTCATTCAGCCAAGCGAGGAGTAATAAGATCAACAGAGTCAGCCAGGCATATAGAAGCGACGCCCAACGCGACCGTAGTCATCCCAAACCACCCAACCCACCCAGCACCCACGTTGCTTGTTCTGCTGTCTGTTCAGCACACAGACAGCGCGATTATGTGACCATGAGCTTTTCAAGTGGTTGCAATTACCCAAACCCAGCCCAGAACACGCCCCAATTAAGGTCGACACACAAATCTGTGTGGGAAGTTCAATTTATAATCCATTCAATGCACAGAAAAAGAGCAACCGGAAGTAAAAGTCAGTATAGCATAGGGCGCTTTGCAAAAAGGGCGTCAAATCGGCTTAACTTCTTCCAAATGAGTGGATTTTCCTACGCATTGCTTGTTGCGATAGGCATCTTTGGCGTTACATTCGCTTATATTGTAATTGAAATTAAATCCACTGTCCTTTATTAGAAGCATTCTGTAATCGTAAGACCAGCCACGCACCTACGATAAAACTTCAACCGAAATGTAAGACGCGAATTTTAGATAATTAGTAAAAGCAAATGTATAGTCAGTCTTTCGCGATAATTACAAAAATGTGATTATAAATAGTAACAATCTCAACAAATTGATTCACAGAAACTTAACATACCGCCCAATCAAGAAATGCACCGATTTTATTATTGTCAAAAATTCCTTCTAATATCTTGTATAATAACAGTCGGTGCCTTCAGGGCTGCAGTCATTAAAATTATTATTTAAAATTGGCAAGCTCGTGTCTGAAGACAGGTAGTCTACCAAAATGACTTGGAGGCAGATTTCATGGTCATTAATAAGAAACAGTATGCGCTGTTGTCGCTTCTGTCGGATATTTGCGCTCCATGGCATAGCTAGCAGCCAAGAATTTGGAAATTAGCCACTATGTGAGCTACAAAAAGTTTGCTTTTGTTGCGTGGGTGCCTCGAAGCCGTCGATCAAATTAGTTGACTAGCCAACTTGAGGTTTTTGCGTCTGTCATACAAAAGAACAGCCAGACACTATATACTTTTAAATTGAAGGGGCGGTCTAATTGAGGGTTTGCTTTCGAGTTTGTGTTGGACGTTGCAATCAGCAGATGCAACACACAGCGTTTTGGTGGAAACAAAACCGGCAACGACGGTACAGCGTCGACGATGACGACAACGAAGAAAACGACGATTTTTGTGCTGGCCAAATTGGCGCAGGTTACGCATGTGCCTGAAATCATGAACATGAGGTTACCTCTCCCCTGTAGTTTTAGTTTACACGCGACGTTCTTTTGATGGATGCAGCGCAGGATGGCAAACAAGTTGCAGCAGGCTCTCAGGTGCACCTTGCGATTGGGACGAAGACACGCGCCGAAACAAGCAGCAACACCTAAGTAAGTGAGGCAACGAGCAGGAGTGCACAACAGCAGACAATCGTTGGAACAATTAGACAACCCAAAATACAGTTGCCGACAAACGATAAGATAAAGTTGCGCGTTTACCAAAAATTCTATTTTATGTTGTAGTCCGCCTACACGCAATTCTTAACTGCCATAAAAACCTTAGAATTCGTTGTCTGTCTGTCGCACCATCTATTTCGATCCACTCCAAATAACCAATTAATAAAAACGTAATTTCCACAGAGTTTTCCAGGCGACACCTGCCCAAGTGGGACGGATGGGTCAGCAAATCTAGATAAGAAAATGAGCAATTACAAAGGACTTTGACAACACGTCGGCAAAATGGTAACATTTTCTCACATTAAAGGACGAAACAGAATGCACCAATGAGCACACAAAATGGCCGAACAGACAAGGGTGAGCAGTTGCTTGTTTAGCCAAGCTTTGCGTGTAAAAAGAAGCCCTTGCAATAAATTAAATTTCTGACATTATTATATATCTTAATTAAATTTTTGGAAAGAACGACTTACAGCAAAAGCTACACATTCTCACAAATAACATACACGACACATATCTATAATATGTACTTGTATGTTAAAAATTAACTCTTATATATCATTAGCATTAGCATTAGCAATAGATTAAATTGAATAATACTTCAATACCTTTTTTTCTAAAAATTTAACAATAACCTTAACAAAGAATAATCTACGTATTCCCTATAGTGCGTGCTTCCAGCAAGTAAGAGCTGCTTCTGATGGTTCTCGATCTTCCGCCGAATATAATTGATTTTTAAAGGCTCGAGCGCCTCTTTAAATCGTTTAGTGCATCATAGAAACAAATTTAATTTTACGCTTGTCTATGGCCTGGCAGTCCACTCACTTGCAGTTACAGATTCTGCGTCCCCCTTCAAAGTGTTAAAATGATCATAAAACTGTGCCCTTTCGGCACAGAATCGTAAAATCCAAAAAGCGTTTGCCTTCCGTGTCTTTGGCTAAATGCAATATTTTTACGAGCCAAAGCCGCGCCTCTTCAAAATGCAAAAGGCAATCTTCCTTTTGGTATGGAATCAGGTCGTTATCCCCTTTGGCGGTAGAAAGAGCAAAAGTCAAAAACAGTAGCTAAACTAATTGAAAAATAAAAGTTGAGCGACGACTTTAACTGTCTCTGATCTTCAGCTCACATTCCTCCAACACCCGATCCACCACTCAAAAAAGAATTGAAATTTCCATACTACAAGCCATGTCATACAATGTGATAAAAATTGTGAGATTAATATAATAATAATTCAAATTAATTAATTAATAATAATTTATAAAATTTATGTATTGCAACCGGAGAATTAAGACCCTGATAGAACACGGTGGGATAGTAGTACCTTTATGTTGTAAACCAGTAGCATCTTCACAGTTTTTTCGACACATTGCATGAATATCTCGGCTTAACCCTTGTAGCTAATGTGCCGATCGGCACACCTTTGCAAACACGTTACACAAAAATCGGCATTGGCTGGAGTCAAAGATAATCGCATCGAGTAAACAGAGGTCCGCTGGCAGCAAGCTGAATATCGTTACTGCCAAAAATCACTTCGAGTCTTTTTCGAGATCAGTTAAAAAAGTGGATCGGTGCATCGGTGGATGACTTGTTCGCAATCTTAAAACACGCGCTCATCGTGCGCAGCTGTGGTGCACTTGTAATTTAGGTGTGTCCTGCCCCTTCGTTATGTTTATCTGCAATGCACTTAGGTCTTCAGGTTAAAAGATGGGGATGTTTCCAGACTCTGATGTCGATGAGCCATGGTAAGGTGTGCAATCAGTCCGTGCGATCTGTTAAATTAGTCCAATTTTTTTAACTAGTAGCTTAGAATGTTTCTAAAAGAAGCCCAATTTCAGTCATACGTTCATACATCCAGAACTGCTTTATGTAGGGACTACAAATGTATGAGCAAAGATGCACTTGAAACCTCTCAGGCATACCCACTTGAATATCATTTCAAAATTCTCAAAGCGTGTATTCATCCAAGTCAATATGCAATAAATTACACAATCAAATGTGTTACAGCTTGTTGTGAATACACAAAACTGCTTACAATTTTCTTTTGAAATTTCAAAAATTTATTACCTTATAAACATAATCAAAATCTCATCAAAACAAAAGATACGCACGCGACATGCTGCGCTTA